TTCTAATATGTAGTTATGAACTGTGATTTGAAAAACATTAGCGAAAGAGCTAGATTATGTTTCTACTTTCTAGCATAGTTGTTTTTGAAATTTCATTTTTTAAAAAGACCCGTGAGATAAGTTAACAAAGGAGAGCTTATGAGAAGTTTTTGACTAAATTTACAATTTGCTATATTTTTTTTACAAAAATAAGTTTGTATTTAATATCAACAAAGTTGGTTTATAAAGAAGGTTATGTAACACATATTCAAGGCGCATGAGAACATCATCAAAATGGATTTGGCCCGCAAGGTCTGCTCAATCCAAACCCTACCCTTAAAATAAGTGGGGTTGGGTTTAATATTTTTGGCTCATTTATTAACGAGACTGTTTAGTCCGTCCCATTTGGCCCGTTGGCCTCGTAGGTTCAACCCGCAAGCTTCTGAGGCCAGCCCGTGGACTATTAATTTTTTAAAATATTTTTATTTATATTTTTAATAGTGTTTTATTTGTAAAAAAATTATTAAAAAATATTTTTAAAAAATAAAAATAAAGTATTTTGCAATTTCATCTTGCATGATGAATTGTAGATGAAGATGAACTTCTTAAGGAAATAATATCACATGTTGATTCAAATGTGATCAATGGTGGAAGTAGAAGTGGAGTTGTAAAACATGAATTAATAAGTCATGTAATATTTAGAAATTCAGATTTGTTAAGTATTTAGGCTGCCTTGTATTGCAAGAAATCTTTTAAACCAGCTAGTTTTTTGTGAGAAAAATGATAGAATTATCAACATTTATCCGCTAAATCTTACGTTAATTATTATATATTTTTGTAAGTATTCACCAAAGCGTGTGATTCATAAATGTATTTTTATAAGTATTTACCGAAGTGTGTGATTTATAAAAGATTTTTTGTATGAATTGATGTCGTGTTCATAAACGTCAACATTCGACATTCTTTCTAAGAGAGTAATATTGTTCATTTTTTGGTTGAAAGACCAACCCGTCCCAACCCGTGGCCCGTTTAGGGCTGAGTTCGACCATTATTTTATTGACCCTTTAATTAAAAGGGTCAGCTCGTCCCAAACCATTTAACTCTCTAGCCCGTTACGATTAGGTTGGGCCAACCCATTTTAACACCACTAAATAACATATTCAAGGTGCCTATAATACACATTGGTGGATCCATATATGAGGCTGGAGGTGCCACCACACTAGAACACTTCCATTATAATTTACACAAATTTCATAGTGTAAAGAGTTAATTACATTTTATTTCTATTTTCTTTATTTATAATAATCCTTTAAAATTTATACCTTCCAAATACATTAAAGAGTATTTCGCATAAATTATAACATAAATTGGATATATAATATGTAGATAAGATACATTAAAAACTAGATCGGATATATAATATGTACCTTGAATACATTAAAAACTAGATCGAATACATAATATGTATCTCGGATACATTATAAAATAAATTGGATACATATTATATAGCTCGGATACATTAAATATTGACTCGGATATTTTAATATGTAGCTCGAATATATTAAATACATTAGGAAGAAATAAGGAATTTTAGAGATTTTTAGAAATAAAAAGAAATATTGAAAATAAGAAAAACATAAAACGTGTATTTCAATAATTTTTCCTAATTTAAATTGATTTTTTTTTAAAAGAAAGTTTTTTGATATTTTAAATTTCATTTTCACTTTTCTATTATTTTTTACGCATGTTGTGTGCGTATTCTTTAACAATTAGTACTAAAAATTTTAAATGTCAATAAAAACATATTTAAATAGTAAAAAGATTTTAGAAAGTATTCACGCTTTAAAAATGATAGATAATAGAACAATTTTACATATAGCAAACATAAAAATCATATTTATATGTTATAACTATAATGTGCATAATTGTTTTCCATAATAAATTTTATGTCTTTTATGAAACTTTTAATTTGTATAATTTGCTAGATACGTCTAATTTTATATAAATTATTCTGTTTTGTATAAATTCACTTGTACATTGTAATTTGTATAATAAGATTTGTATTTGTATAGTTATAAGAGTATATGACAAAAATATATGTATTTTTATTTGTATGTATATTTTTACGTTGCTTTATACAAACACAAATATGTTTTATATATTTTATACATTTGTATACCGAATGAGTAATTGTATACTGAATCATATGACAAAAAAATGGGATATTTACTGCATATTACAAATAAAATAAAATACGACTATAATATTTGATTTGAGTTGATAGTTTGTTAGTTCATACAATTTGCTCCAAATATTATTATGATAGAGTTTTTGAATTTAATGACTATGTGAAGGTGATTGAGTTGAACCGACCTCAATCTTCAAAAATTGAGAATATTGGATGCATTTCTATAATATCCTTCTTCACTTAAATATCAATATATGACTCAATTAGCATGACATTAGACTCAAATATGTGACCTAAGTCACATGTCCCTCGACCTTTGCCACTTGAACTAAGATTAAGAAACTTAATTGACTAATTAATTAGAGATAAGACACAATTATCCCTTAGACTATGCATGAAATTTTAAAGACACATCGTAACTAAATTAAGGTCGTATTACCCCAATTCATTAATTTTTTTTGTTATTTTGTACACCTTCTTAGCTTATGTGGCATCCAAATATCTTCCACGCACCTCAACTACGTGGAGTTACGGAATGTGCCACATAATCCAAAAGGTGCATAAAATTAAAAACTAAATATTTCTAGGATTATAAAATTTTAATTTAGTTAATATGTGTCACTGAGATTTCGTCATAGTCTACAAGAGTACTTGTATTCTGTCCCAATTAATTATATTATGTCTCAACAATTTCTTTACTCTCAAAGAGTTCTTTTCTATCTATGAAAGAAAGTATTGTTCTACATTTTTGAAATGTGAATAATAGATCTTGATTAGTTTTATTTTCTCGAGAAATAAGTTCAAATCACTTAGTTAATTCACATTTAGAATGGAATAATCACACAAACCAATTCACTTTTGTTTTTGGTCGACAAAATATGAAAGCAGTTACACATGAGACAAATTGATATTTGAATGATATTTCTCTCTAGCACTCTTTTGCTCTGAAGGACAAGAAAATGGTATCGCCAAAATAACGTTTTGGCTCTTGACCGCCCACAGAAAAGAGACTAAAAAATATAGCACCAAAAAAATGTTCTGGCTCTTGACCGCCCACAGAAAAAAAAATTTAACATTTTTCCTTTAAAGGACAAGAAAATGTCATCACCAAAAAAACGTTCTGCCTCTTGACTGCTCACGTGAAAGTAAACAAAACAAAACAAAGAACCAAAACTCCAAACTATTCCTCTCTATCACTTCTTTCGCGTGGACAAGAAAATGGTATTGCCAAAACACGTTCTAGCTCTTGGCTTCCCATAGGAAAGAAGATGTTGTCATCATCATCTGGTGATAAACCTCCTTCTTCGAGCGTTCAAAAGTGTACACATATTTAGTGAATATTTGAGTCAAAATTGAATTAAAAGAAAATTGATAGTCATTTGCTATATTGGATAGTTTCAAATGAAGAATTGAAGAGATTAATACAAATTCTTTGTCATGTTAGGAAATTACATTTAATTATCTAGAGTCGATAAATTTAGAATAAAGTCATATTTGGACAAAATATCAAGAAGGCAAACGCGTATATGTAGTAAATTTTTACTTGATTTACTAGGAGCACTAGCAAAATCTATTGATTCAGCAATTTGGAAATCTTTTTGAACCTTGACTAATTAATTACTGATATAATATATCATGCCTAAACAATTTCTTTAATCTCGAGGGATTCTTTTCTATCTGCAAAGAAAGAATTTTCTTTATTTTTGAAATATGAATAGAAGACTTTTATTAGTCTCTCAATTTTTAATTACTTGTTTATTTTTGAAATAACATATTTATTAAAAAAAATTAATGACATAACGAGTATATCACTTTACCTCTATTAATTATGAACTGGATGCTAAATTTCAAATTTTTCAAATTAATTAGTCATTTAATTGAGAACATAATTTTTTATCCTTTCTTAATTTGTCAAAGTAAACAAATAATTAAAAATAACTATAAAATATAATAAATAATTAGCGGGAGTAATTTTCTCTTCACCAGAAATAGGTTCACATTATTAATTTAATCCTCATTTTAATTGGAGTAACCACATAAAACAAATCATTTTTTTTATTTTCATTTTTTTAAAAAAGTAGGTGACAGCATAAAAGTTTCAAAGTTCTGAAAATACAATTTATAAATAATTTTTTTAAAGGTATTATAAATTAAAATAACTAACAATTCAAATCCTTAGATATATATAAAAAAAATTCCAATAAAAAAAACTTAACTCAACATTTTTTTTTTCTTTATAATTTATCCGTGCTACCTTTTTAAATAAAAGCCTTATTACAATAATTAGATTTGAAGCTTGTTTGGAATGATTTTTATTTTTGGCTTATTTTTTTCATCATTTTAGCGTTAAATCAAGTATTTATAAATGCCTTTTCTAATTTATCAAAAGACTTATGAAATAATATTTTCATAAAAATAAAGCTGTTGTAAATCCATTGTATATGTGGATGATCCATTAGAGTTATCCAACAATTAATTAGATTCATGTATTAGTGTTTTCAATGTGATAAGATATCAAGGTGATATGAACCTTGATGATAACTATGTAAATTTCAAAGTGACCTTTGACTATGATATCTCAACATTATAAATAGAGATATCATTCACCATTGTATGATATACTTGAATAAGAAAATTATCTCCTCTATCTTATACTTCTTGTCTTTTTCTTCTTATATTCTGAGTTTTCTTTACAACAAAAGCTTCATTATAAATTTTCTTAAAAAATTCTAATTTTTTATTTATTTATTTTTTTAACTTTATTTTCTCACACCATCAGCCCTACCTGTCTCCATACCCCTTTGAGAAAATCAATAAATACTGCCCTAACCAATACTAATCAAAACCATAAACCCAACCTATTCTTCTCTCACTCTTTTCCTCTCAAAAACAAAAAACAAAATGGTATCACAAACACAAAGAGAAAGTTCCGCCTCTCAATCACCCAAAAGAAAAAAAAGGAAAAAGAAGTCATCATCATCGTCCGATCATAAACCTCCTTCGCGATGTCCAAAGGTTCACATAGATTCATTTTCACTTCAGTTTTTTTCCTTTTTTAGTGTTTGTTGATTTTTTTTTCTCTTGTGGATTTTTTTAGGCAAATGATAACGATGTGTATTCACCTGGAAAATCGGTACCGATCTGGGAGATATTGAAGGAGCAATATTCGATAGATCGATCCAAACTCTGCGGCAACAGCTCGGCTAATGATAAAGTTCAGGCTGCCGGAAAAGTTGACGGCGTTGCTGCCAGAAAAGGTGTCAGATCTGTCACAGAAGGCAAGCCCTTTTTTTTTCATATTACTAGCTCCGTCTATTTTAACGTGTCTGTTTGGACTTCCATTGTATTTTAGTGCTGATGATTGAACTTTATAACTTCAACTTAAAATTAAGTGTCTGTAAGTATACTTAAAAACACTTAAAATAATTAAAACTCAAAACAGATTCATAAATTATAGTAAATCAATTTTATGAGGACTTTTGACATGTTTTTATTATTTTAGCTTCAAATGAAGTGCGTATAAGTACTTTTTGAATTTATTCAAAAACTTCAAAAGGAATTATTTTAAATAAGTCTACTGTTTTTTAAGTTTATTTTAGGTAAAAGAATTAAGAAAATTTATTTATCTTTTTTGATTTTCTTGAGAAATTCACTGTTTTGTCTATCTTTGATGATATTGAATGTGTCATTCAGGTGCTGAAATGAAGAAGCCTTGGTGTCAACTAATAGCAGAGTTTCCGCAGGTTTTCAAGTAGTAGTATTTAAAATTATTTCTATTTGTTTTAATTCGGTATTTGTATAACATCCTTATTAATTTAGATTTATATTGTTTAGGATCCCATTTGGCGGAAAGCATATCATGAATTTTTTCATACTCAAGATTCAAACACAAACTCGAGATCTCTGGTTAAAACAGAAACAATTCCGTCCACTGCAATGCTGGTTATCATCTATTTTTGTTGTTCAATTTTTTTGGATTTAATGTGAATACACTGCAGAAATTTTGTTTGATATCTAATAGAATGTGAATACACTGCAGAAATTTTGTTTGATATCTAATATAATGTGAACACACCGCAGAATTCAACAGTGGAGATTTTTGAGCAACGTTTTATGACTGGTGCGGGCAAAAACCTTCCTGAACATGCAATGATTTGCATGATAAATCGTGAAGAGGTAAAGCTCTAACTTGGAGTACCGACTTTCCTCACTATTTAATGTTGTTTTGTCCGATAGTTGAGAACGATTTGGAAAGTCACCCGATAATTTATTAGTTAATATATTTTCAAGAAATAATATAACCTTAAACACATAATTTAATATTTCCCATTAGTTTACTAAGTTAAAACATTCTTTAAGTATGCAGTCTTAAATTTTACTTCCAATTCATTTTCTTATTTCTTCCTCTCAGTCAGTCATGAGCGAGCTGTGCTTAGACGCCCCTGCCGTGGATGATCCGGACAAGTTATTCGCTAATACATTGTTTGAGGTGGAAATTCTTTCTATAAATATGTGAAATTTTTGTTCCTTTCTTTTTTGGGTTAAACTTTACTCTTTACATTTCATTATACTTTTTCAGGTTGTATTCAATGAGAGCCGGAATTTGCCATTCATTTTGTTCGTGAAAGATGCTGACAAAGTAATGGCAGGAAACGCAGAATTATATTCAACATTTAAAACTCGGCTTGAGAAACTTCTTAATAATGTAATTATTATTGGTTCACAGTCGGCTTGAGAAGCTTCCTGATAATGTAATTAGTATTGGTTCACAATAGCTTGAGAAGCTTTCTGATAATGTAATTATTATTGGTTTACAATTGGCTTGAGAAGCTTCCTGATAATGTAATTACTATTGGTTCACAGTCTGCTTGAGAAGCTTCCTGATAATGTAATTACTATATGTTCACAGTCGGCTTGAGAAGCTTCCTGATAATGTAATTTCTATTGGTTCACAGTCGGCTTGAAAAGCTTCCCGATAATGTAATTACTAATGGTTCACAGTCGGCTTGAGAAGCTTCCTGATAATGTAATTACTATTGGTTCACACGCTCATACAGATAATCATAAGGAGAAAATACTATTTGAGATCAGATTGCCCATGAATAGATGCATGTGTTATATCTTTTCTAGTTTTATAATGTGTATACAATGTATTAAGTTGCCTGTTATGAAAATTTATTATGGATTGAATTTCTTGGCTATAGTAGTTATTAGTGCCAAAACATTGTTAGACTGAGGCTTGTTCAAGAGAATGAGAGGTGACTCCTAGTACAACAAAAAGTTTAAAAGATCATCTCCCAAGCACAAAAGAGATATTAGTCTTGCTATATATTTATAATTCATGCGCGCCCATGTAGCATACACACACTACACAGGGCGGCACACTCTCTTTTGTATATATAAAATTAGTTTCATTCATAAGCATGGCCACAATGGCCGTATACAAAAGATATACTTAAAAGTAGAGAATTTACAAAACGATATGATTCTATACAAAGTTAATGCAATTTTCATTATTATACGTGATTTAATGTAGTAAATGAACTATAAATTTAAACATATGACATGCATGTATTAGCATGGTGTAAACACGTGATGCCGATAATGTTTGAATTAAAGTCGAACTCGATATTTATCAATTTGCGGTAGTTGGATTTAAATAGAGTCACTACTCACTAGTAACCAAAGAATGAAAGACACACTTTTTCATTTAAATGACACCGAGTAAAGAATGAAAAAACACACTCCTCAATTTAAAAGACGCATCATACACACAAATACACATACACCCTTATTATTTCAGCTTTCATTTGAATCAAATTTCATATGTTTTTTTTGCGTAAATGAGCAGAGAATAAGGGAAGAAAAATAAAATCATAAAGCACGTATATCTATTCTGTTTTGCTGTTTTATGTGGGGTTATGTAAAATTAGAAGTCATTAATAACGACTAAATGTATAGTTTCTGAAGAAAAGAGAAAGACTAGTTTTAAAAATAAATAAATAAAAAGAATTCCTTTTTTGTTGTGGTGTCACGTCATTGATTGAGGATTCTCTTTTTTATATATGTATTAAATAGAAAATAAAGTTTGTATTTAATGTTTTTTTTTAATTAGAAAGATTAGATAGCATAGATGACAAACAGTTTTTAGGGTCATAAAATTTGGCTACTTCACTATAGATTAAGCGAACTAGCAGATGCTTTAGTTTGTATTAATATTAATAAAGTCGTTTTATTAGAAAAGTTTATATATAACACAAATTTAAGATGCATAAGAGAACATATATATTCAAAAGTGTGAATAATATACAAGAATGAATTATATAAGAGGTTGGGATGGTAGGGTGCCACGACATCACATACATAAATTCATAAAATATAGCTTATAGAGATAACAAAAAGGTGGAGGATGCTAGTAAAACCTGGTCGAATGATTATCGATATGGGCTATGATATAGTGATTGAAAGTGTTTTATCTTTAATCAAAAATTTGAAATTTAAATATGCGATGAGAATTTGAATGTCGTCTGCAACATAAATGATTGTATTAGCTTAGATAAAATTTGAGTTTGGAGTTAAAAGGGTAAAAAAAATTGTTAAAATTTTTAGAAGGGCATATCAATTTTTTTTTAACTAAAACGACAAAATCGCTCACGATGTAGCGATTTTGTCTGTCGGAAAAAGCATAATTGCTGCTGTAGCAACGATTTCTTAAATTTCTTTTTTAAAAAAAAATAAAATAAAAATTAAAAAGAACGATTTTCAAAATTTAAAAAAAATTATAATTTTTTTTATTTTGCAGCGACTTACATTAAACTTTTTTTTGATTTATTTTTTAAAAAAATTAAAATCAAATCTTGGCAAAATCGCTGTCAAGCCAGCGATTTTTAATTTAACTTTTTTAATTATTTTTTTAAATTAAATCACTTTAAAGACAACAATTTACACTTAATTTTTTTTGAAAACTTTATTATATCGGCTAATTTTTTTGCAGTGATTTAATTAAATTTTCAAAAAAATAAAAATTAAGTGTAAATCGTTGCCTTTACAGCATTTGATTTTTTTAAAAAAAGATTAATAAAAATCACTGCTAATGATTTTAAAAAAGTGACTTATTAAAAAAATTATAATTTTTTTTAATTTTGAAAATCTCTCCTTTTGGAGAGACTTGTTTATTTATTTATCGGAACAAGGGCCTAAAATACCTTTAAAGTATTGAAAATTGTACAAAATTACCCTTCATCCACCTATTGGCTCCAAAATGCCTTTTTCATCCACCTATTGGCTCCAAAATACCCTTGTCATCCATCTTTGGGTTCAAAATTGACTACTTTTTTTAATTGTTTTAAAATTAAACTCTTTAAATATTTTTAAAAAATACTTGGCGTTCAACTATTGATTATAATTATAATTTATTAATATAATTTATAAACTATCCCACTACTCACTCATTACTAATTAAACCTCACCCCAATTAATAATCCAATTATAATATCAAAATCGTCATAAACACTACTAAAACACGATGAAATTATAGATTTCTGAAAATGACATTCAAAATTATTCGAGTCCGAATCGAAGCCACAATTAAAATTAGGTTGAGCCGCTTACTTAGGAGGACACTTTCTTTCAAAATTGAATTAGAAATTTATGATTAAAGGTAAAGAGTAATACATCCCGAATTAATTCATGCACTTCTTTTAAATATAATTTTATAAATACTTATGATTTGTTTTAAAACCTTTAATATATTATTTTGAAAAAAAGTTACCTATGAAGTAACATCACATAATTGAGACGTAAGAATAATTAAGATGAACATAATCAGACTTTTAAGTTTATCAGTGATTTTTATTTAGCCACTTGAATGTATGATAATTTACTTCTATAATTTTTAAAAACACTCAATTGGCAGTAGCTTGCATTAATAATGTAACGGGTTCATTTATTTAGAGGGATTTGATTAGTAATAGGGTGGGTAGTGGATTGATTTATAAATTATACTAATAAGTTAAATTATAACAAAAAGTTGAGTGTCACGTATTTTAAAAAATATTTAAATAGTTTAAATATAAAACCGTTAAATAAGTGGTCAATTTTGAACCAAAAGGTGGATGACAAGATTATTTTGGACCCAATAGATGGGTGTGAAGGGTATTTTGGAGTCAATAGGTGGATGGAGGGTAATTTTATACCATTTCTAATACTTTGATGGTATTTTAGCCCCTTTTCCGTTTATTTATTTATTTTAAAAAAGAAAACAAATTTAAGAAATCGCTGCTATAGCAGCGATTTTTCTTTTTCAGACAGACAAAATCGCTGTATCGTGAGTGATTTTACCGTTTTGGTTTTAAAAAAATTGATATGCCCTTTTGAAATTTTTGATAATTTTTTTACCCTTTCAACTCCGCACTTAGATAAATCCCAACAAGTCAGGATAGTCCAAAAGTAATACATATTAATTTTACTTGAATTAATGTGGTTTGTTCAATATACTATGCGCAATCAAAATTAGATATATAATATGCGTTCCGTGAATAAATAATTTATAATTAAAAATATGATTAAGTTTGACTCTAATATCAAATTGAAATGTAAAATCTATCCGATAAAAGTCCAAATTGTCAAAGGGAAAATATTCTTAATTAATTAATTAGTTTTTGTGATTGAGAAATTCATATGGGTCAATTCTTAAAATTGATCATAGCCTTTGAAATATGAAAAGATGAGGGGAGCACAAAGAATGCGTTAAAATTCAAGCCCAAAAGAGAACCCAAAAAGTTGAATGTTCAAAGTTCAAAGTTTTCTAGTTAAAAATTTCTATATTTTAAAGTTTTCTAATTTAAAAGTTTCCTAACTTGAACTTTCCTAGTTATTTTTTCCACAATAAAAGTAGATTTGAATCCATTTTTTCTTCAAATTGATTTTTCCATGATGAATATTGTTATTTTAGACGAGATATGATTAATATTAATATTTCAGATGTTTTTCTTTTTTACATCTATGTGTGTGATAATTATAGATTTATCTCTTTAAGAGGTTAAGAGATTGTTTGAATTAGCTTAATTAAAAGTTGATCAAATATACTTTAAAGTCATTTTTAACTTTTGACAATGTTTGACAATGATAAAAATGAATTTTAAAATGTTAAAAATCAAAAGTAGTATCCCTCTGTTTTTTGACTTAAAAATTATTAAGTTTGAATTTTTATTTTTAACTTAAAAACTACTTTAAAGTCAATCCGACGGGCTCTAATTCTCTCACTTGATGTCGTTGGTTTATTCATAAATTAAAGATAATGATTAATCTTATACTAATTTTTATTCATAATTTCTTCGAAATAGGGGTCTAAATCTTTCTTTTATCTAAATTTTTGAATTGATTATATTAGTATCACAATTAGTTTTAACTGATCAATTAGGATTCTTAGCACTGTTCTTGAAATTTGAAGGTTTTATTCTCGAATTTCACATCTCTTTCAATTTATATCCTCAATCACTATAATTTCGTTTCCAAATTATTTTCTTGTTTAACAACAATGGCCGGGGTCACCTCTATATCATTCTCTATTTAATTGTCAAATCAAGACTTAGTTTTCATGACGCAATTTTCAAACCTGTGATGTAAGTCATAAATTCCCCGGTCTTTATCAGTAGACCTAAGCTTCAAAAACTTTATTGACTAATTATTATAGTTTACGTCAACGAGATCTCGAATAACTATTTTCTATCTATATATAAAAAATTATTTTCTAATTTTCAATGTGAATAATAGAATTTGATTAGTTTTTTTAATCATATTTGTTTTAACGTTACATAGTTAATTCATATTTGTAATAGAGTTACCACAAGAAGCAATTTAACTCACCTTTTATTTTTTATTCTTTTAGAAAGTCAAAATATTTTATTTTTTATTCTTTTAGAAAGTCAAAATAGCGATACATGAGCCAACTATCATATTTGATGATACTGCACTTGTTTAGAGTATTCTTAGCATGGTATGATATAAGTTACTATTACAATAATTTATAATAAACTAAATTGGTATAAATAAGTTTTTCCTATATAATATTAAGAAAATTATCTTAACA